AAAAAAAAAAAAAAAAAAAAAAAAGAACATAGTCATATAGAAAACAGAATAGAGAAAAAACCAGTGTGTAATTCTACAAAATACAGGAAAACACTTACTTCATCAGCCACCATACACCTGGAAAAAAAAAAAAAAAAGAACCATATTAATTTTTTAATCATCCATGGAAATCATCTCATTAATTCTTATTACAGGGCTTGCCTAAACTAGTTTACAAATGATATAGTGCCAAGTCAGAGAGGTATTCATAAGTGCAGGTGAGATCATGGACCAGCACTGATTTTATGTCTCCAGCTGCCAACAACCTATGACTATGTGGAGTTTCATATGTGTTATTTACAAAATGTGGAATGTCATGCCAAGCTGTGATTTCTGTATCTTGCTAAACTCTCTCCCTGACCCATTTTTTGCAACAGGATCTCAGTGCCTACCTTGCTCAGTGTCTTAGTTACTTTTCTCTCATTGTTGAGACAAAATACCCAATGCCCAAAACTAAGGATGAAAGCTTTATTTAGCTCAGTTTGTGGAAGTTTCAACCCATAATCAACTAGATCCAAGGCAGGGTGACAAAAAGGGGAGGGGAAAGAGCCTCTGGGTCCCTGATGAGTTAAACTTCTGAACTTCTCAAGTTGACACAATGTATCAAGCAAGCATAATACTCAACCTGGTCTCTAACAAGCAGTCCTCCCTCCTAACCTCTCCAGTAGCTGACAGGACAGATGTGCACCACCATTCCTGCCTTTTTTCCTTATTAATTTATAGAAGTAAATGCTATCTAAGGAGGATAAAGAGTATAAACTAAGTTTCAAACTAAAAGAAAAACTAAAGAAAAGGAAAGACTGAAAGAATGGATAATGGGTTAGGATCACTATATGTCTGTTTGAGATAGTGAGTACATCCACATGAGGGAAAATAAAGTACTAACACAGAGGATTATTACATAAAAAAGCAAATATGTTCCAAATAATTACATAAAGAAATAATGTGGCTCAAGGACGGTGAGCAAGACTAGAAAGTAAGTCTGGAAAATGCACTGGGTTTTTATTAGAAAGTCATAAACAACAGCATTGAGATAGGGTTTTCTTAGAATCTTTTGAAAGGATTTTTTTACCCTCCCTGCAGAAAATAAGCTACAGAAAGCAAAAACAGAAGCAAAGAAAGAAATTAGAAACTCAGTGTAATAAACCAGAACAGAAACTATAAAGTATGGATAAGTAGTAGAGGTAGAAGTGGTGAGAAGTGAGCAGTTTCAGGTACTTTTTGAAGGTAGAGGCAGTAAATTTAGTTTGCTTTTTTTCCCTTAAATCTATCTGTCTGACATCTATCTATCTATCTATCTATCTATCTATCTATCTATCTATCTATCTGGTACAGGGTCTTGCAATGCAGTTTGGACTCATAGTGATTCTTCAGGATTATAGGTTTAAGCCACCAAGCCTGGTTTCATTGGCTAGCAAAGAGTGCCTGGGTTCTGGGACCAGCAGGATATGCAGGGTCCTTGCCTTTGCCAGGCAGGCACAAAGACCACTGAGCCACCTCCCCAGCCTAGAGGCAGTAAGTTTAACTGATCAACTAGGATGTGGATTAAAAATGTAGATATAAAAAGACACAAGTCAAGAATAATTCAAGATACTGATGTTAAGCAACTAAATGTGAAATATGGTGGTGATATGTAATGAGATAGGAAATACTTGGAGAGGAACACCTTGGGGGATGATGATCAGAATTTGTACTTGGCCATGCATCTGCCTCTGTGATTGCTTTAAGATATCTGACTCAAACTGCTGAGTAGGCCAGTGGGTAAATGAGTCAACAGAGTGGTTAAAGATTAGAGACAAATAATTAGAGTCATAAAAATGTAAATGGCTTTGGAATAAGTGAGGATTCAGGCTATTCTAAAACATGAAACTTGATGGTGGCTTATTTTCCTCTATGCCCAATTCCATGTTGCTGTTTAACACCAGCCGATAAGGATAATTAAGGATAATTAAAGATGTTGTAAGACTTTGGTTCTGGGGCCAGGGATGTAGCTCAGTGGTATAAGTGCCTGTCTGGCAAGTGCAAGGTCCCGAGGTAGATCCTCTGTACTGCATAATAAATAAATAAATAAATAAATAAATAAAAATTAAAAAAGGTTCTGATAGGGTGTTTTAGATAGGTTCTGATAGGGTGTTTTCAGGCCATATTCAGGGAAACTGGTATGTAGCTGTGGTAAACTGCCCTGTGGCTCACTGAAAAGCAGTGTCACAACCCTCATACAACACTGATCCCTCTGGATATGCTAGATTTTCCTAACATGAGGCAGCAGACTGGCCCTACTTTGGACACTTAAGAGAGTTGAAGTCGATCAGATAGCATTAAGCTTCTTTAAAGTATTACCAATGGAGCCAATTATCCTTAAACTTTACATAGAAGGCATATGCTAAACTCTGGGATTCCTGCTGTTCAGGATAGAGTATGTTTACTACCTGGCCTGATTTCCAATGAAACATTAAAGAAAATAAGTGAATATGTGAGAGATCCCAACATTTGAAGAGGACAATAAGAGAACTAGAAATAAATAGCTAGTAAAAGAGAAGTGGTAGAAAAGAAAACACTTGTACAAAAATTATAAGCACATTTAAGTAAGTTTTAATTGCACACATACACCCATAAATGTCCTAGAGCTCAAACCATGACTTTTTTCATTTTAAATAATTTTTATTAGTACGTTTGTCATACATAATGAATATTCATCACAGAGTTGATACATGTGCTTAACATATCTTAATGTTTCTTTCATCACTTTCTTTTTCTCTTCACCTAGAAAATCATGATTTTTTTCTTCCATAATTTTATTGAGAAACAAATAGCAATGAGACAGTTTCAAACCAAATTGGTAGCACAGTTTCAATAATTAATACATTGCATACATTCTTCCTAGTGGTTATTTGCTGTACAAGATGTGGACATAATATCCTATTTATAAACTCTATTAGAACAAATCCCTCTTTTCATTAAGAGAATGTAACTATATATCTATCCTAACAATTTTCAATACACAGATAAAATATGGACATTCATCTGTATCCCTTTTGTTTAGTTCTGATATTTGAATAGTATAGGCATGTTAACTCAGCAAAATATTCTGAAATTTCAGAATAGGGCTTCTGCTTCACTGACAATGTCAGAAATTGTTGACCTGAGTCCCTTACAGCTCAACATAACAGCATGGCTTTACTTCTTATACTTCGATTTTATACGTTTGTGCTGGATGGTTAGACCAAGATAAAGCACGACCTATGCAACAAGAGTTGTAGCTTTTGGGTCTGATAAGGTCAGTGAAATCCCCTCAGGATTTATCCTGAGATCCTGTACCTCAGATTGTAGAACCTTTGTCAGTGTCAGCCATGTGGATGAGTCATGACCACTGCTTGGCCAATGTGTTCTCTGTGAAAGCCTGAGAGAATGTTTTCTCTCCAGGTGACTCTCCTTAGACACACTCTACATCATCGATCACTTTTCTCTTTGGCCCCATAATCTTCTTGATCAGAAAATTTGGGACACTACAGAGTTACGTGATGTTACAGTACAAGATCTCATATGTCCTGAGTCCTAATTGACCTTGGAAGGCTAGGACCAAAATGTTGGCTTTCCTTGTAGCCCTCCTTTTTCTCTAATTTTGGTCTGCAAACTTAGGTTGTTAACCCTCCAGAAGACAAGCTTATTGTTATTACCATACAACCTAGGCTGTTAAGCTTAACCTCACTATCTGTCTGAATATCAAACATTTTAGGCATAACGTGGAACAAGTATTTTTCATCAAGTATTGATATGCTGAACTTTAAGTCCCTACAGAATATGATGAAAAAACATTTAAAAAATTAAAATATATTTTTAAAATAGGCATAAAGAATTATATAATTCTTATGTTTACACCTAAGTCCAGAAATCTAATCATATACAACCCTGTAGCAGGACAGTCCCGCAACATTCCTTTTCTTGTCTCCTGCCTTCATTCAACACCCCCTTCTTTTTGAACAATCATTATTTTTGACAGATGAACAGTTGACTAGAAGATACAGTACAAGTATTATCTCAAGACACAGAAAAGAAAGCTAAATGAAAATGGTAAAGAAAAATGTGAAAAACAGAAAAGCTCTTGAAAGTTACATTAGAACACAAAATATGTGTGTGTGGGGGGGGGGCACTGCTTAAAAGGAGAAGCTCCAGCAAAAGAGAAGCATGAATTAAGTAAATAATAAATGAAAAATAACCTGGTCTCAAGAAACACCACACATACATAACTGAAAAGGAAACCCACCAAGTTTTAGGTTGGATTGAAAAGACAAATACTAAGGCTAGCCAGATAGCTCAGCGGACTAAAGCGCCTGCTTAGGGCGAGCACAGCAGCTGGGGTTTCATCCCCAGCATGCCGTGCTAGCCTGCTCCCCTCCTACTCCCCCACTCCCCCACTCCCCTGCCCCGTGTGCACACTGAGACAGTAACTGAGAGTAGGCATGGTGGTGCACACCTGTAATCTCAGCACTTGAGAGGCTGAAAACAGGAGAATCACTATGAGTCCAATCTACATAGTGAGACCCTGTAGACCCTGTAGACCCTCAAATACATAAAAACAAAAAGAAAAGACAAATATCTACATATACTTTTTGAAGATTTATGAATGTTAATAACGATAAAAATCATGTTAAGTGTCGAGAAAGAACAATTATCCACAAAAGGGAATATAAGACTGGTACTGAGTTTATCAGCATAGGACGCTAGAAAACAACAGAAAGTGATCTAGACTGCTTGAAAGGAAAGCCAGGAAAATAATGAGTGCTATAACTAGTGAAAATAAGCTTTATTTGAAAATAATGGCAAAAATCATGAGGATAATCAAGCTCTCGAATATTATACTTCTAAAAATCACCTGAGAAAATAAACCGACAAAAACACACCATAGCACTGATTCAAGACAGAGGATGGAAAGTAAATCTGGAAAGCAGTAAAGAAAATTTCATGGACTATGCAGAGTCTAATAAGAACTCCTGAAACAGAGGAACAGTAATATAAGACAAGGAGTGTTAAAATGATTCTAAAACAAAATACCAAAGACATAATATGTAGTCAGGAGA